CTGTTCCAGCCTCCAGGGGCATCTGTATTCATGTGGCATATATTCATACAAACACACACGTAAAAATTTTTTTAAATACATATTTAAAAAAAAAAAAAAACAGTGATGTTAATTTTGGTTGTAAACTTAACCCATGTCTGGAATTACTAAAGCCTAAGCATCTGGGCATGCCTGTAAGGGGTTTTCTTGAATCAGCCGAATCAGTCTTCCCACCGTAAATCTGGGTCTTCTGACGGCAGCCCACATAAAAGGACATGGAGGAAGCAGCCTTGCTTTCGCCTGCTTGCCCTCACTCTAGCTGTCAAGTTCACCTATCCTGTTACTGAGGCATCCTGTTGCTGCTGTTAAACTTACACCTTCAATGTAGCCTGAAGACCAGCAGGTTTATAGGAATCCTCCAGAGTCAAACAGCACATAGGGAGTGCTAAGACATCCAGCCTGGGAGACTGAACAAACACATTCTTGGCCTTTCCACTGGGGCACAGCTATTGTTGGCTACCTGGACCACAGCCTGTAAGCCACTCTAATAAATCCCCTTTGAAACATACACACATAGAGAAAGAGAGAGAGAAAAAGACTAATTCTATGTTCTGTTCCCATCCCTTTTAGGGAATCCTGAGTGATAACAGTAGTAGTATATTTAAACTCAGGAGTGAAATGAGACAATCCCAAAGACAATCAAATATAGCTAAAGTAAAACATATTTTCTCTAAATAAATAAATAAATAAATCCAGCAAAATACTGCATATTTTTGCTATGCTAACAGAAAAGAGTTTTTAAGAGCCTATATCAGAGTAACTTCTCCAAGAGTAAAATAATGATGGTTTTAGATAAAAAAATGAGCTGATTACCAATCAAGAGATTTGAACTAAACTGGACTGTTTAAACCTAACAATTAGAAGACATACTGTCTGATGGGCCAAGAAAGAAAAATCCAAAAATATAGTCTGTAAGAAACACTTAAATTGTAAAGAAACTAAAATAGCCAAAGTTAAAGAAAAAGGGTATTTTGGGTAATTTCTACCAAATGAGACTTTAAGGCAAATTTCAGAATGGACAACAATAGGGCACAGGTCCAATTCACTAAGAGACCAATGTTAAGCCCGCACACATCTAATGAAGGAGTCTCAACATACACAACAAGAACTCCTGGAACTATTAACAAAACCAGATTAGCAACATCCCCGGTCTCCAATCTACCACGGAGGGAGCCTCAGCCAAGCAAGAATCAGCTTGGTCAAATGAGCAGGCCAAGACGAGCCTGTCTAGCTCGACTCAAGCCTGGCACAACAAAGAGAAGTCCTGGATAATAGGATGAAGAAAATCTAAGAAAGACTGAACAATACAATTTTACTCTTTATCTTACAGACATGTAACAGTTACAGAATGCACAGACTTCATATTTATACATAAAACATTAAAATTATTCTTCATAATTATTAAATTCTATATAAATAAGGCCATAAAATTGGGTTAAAAATTGTTTTCATAAAGGTAAAATGAAGTCCACGTTCTGACAACATAGTTAAAAAAAATCAAAACAGTGAAAAAATCAGCATATTTAACAATACTTAAATAAAAGCAAAAGATAAAATTACTCCTTTGCTAAAATTAATGACTAATCAATAAAAAAAAGAGCCAGTTATCATGCCTCAGCCCTGTAATCTCAGCACTCAGGAGACTGGCTTAGACACTCAGAATTCCAGCCAGTGGAGGCCACAGAATGCGCTCCAGTGACACACAAAACAAACAAACAAACAAAAAGGGAGAGAAAAGAGCAATATAAATATTCAAAATGAGAAAAGAGAAAATAAAAGCAGAACATGCGAAACAAAATATTTTAAGTAATTAAAATGCCATGAATTTGATACTAATAAATTTTTGTTGAATAAACAAATTTCTGAAACTACCTAAATGTGCATGCATGAAAAGGCTATATCCAAGTCATTTTGTAAGTAAGTTCCACCAAAATTTTAAGAAACTCAGTCCAAACTAACCACCCAGTAACTCAGCTGGTAAGTTACTGTAACCTTCCCACCAAAATCAACTGTCTGAGGCCCAGGGTGGAAGCACACCTTTGCTCCCAGCACTTAAGAGGCGGAGCCAAGTAGGTCTCTGAGTTTGAGACCAGCCTGACCTATATATCAAGAGTTCCAGGACAGCCAGGACTAGATGGTGAGACCCTATTTAAAAAACAGAGGGTGTGTGTGTTTATAAACATTATCAAGCTGGGCAGTGGTGGTTTTAATCCCAGCACTTGGGAAGCAAACGCAGAGGCAGGAGGATCTCTGTGAGTTTGAAGCCATCCTGGTCTACCAAGCTAATTCTAGGACAGCCGAGACTGTACACAGAAACCCTATCTCAAAAAAGCAAAAACAAAACAAATCAAGAACATTATCAAACTCAGTCCCATAGTACATTAAAAAGAAACCCTATTAAGGCCAACTTGGATCTATCTCCAGAAAAAATAAAATAAAATAAACTCTAATTAAAATCCATAATTTGGAGGGCTGGAGGGCTCAGCAGTGACACGCTCTGGCTGCTTTTGCTGAGGACCTGGGTTCAGTTCCCACATGGTGGTTCACAGGTACCTACAATTCCAGGAATCCAACACCCTCTTTTGGCCTCTATAGGCACCAAGCACAGAGCTGGTACACAAGACATATAAAAGCAAAACAGCCATACATATAAAATAAAAATTTGTAATTAATTTGTAATTAATTTCATTTAATGAGTTGGAGAAAAGATGAAACAAAAATCTCAAAAAATGCAGAAAAGCATGTGACAAAACGGCAAAGCCTCCCTAATACCACAGTTCTCTACAAAGCCTCCCAACGATTCTCCTGTTGACAGCTGTTAACAACCCTGAAGACAGCATCTTTGAAACTGGGACTGAGACCTGTGCATGCATTATAATCCCTTCTAATGAACAACCATAACCACTTGAATTGAACCCAAACTTAAAAATATGCCAGAACATAAAAACACACACACACACAATCAATTGGAAAGAAAGAAAAAATCTAAACATCACCACTGCAAATGACAGAAACAAACAACCAAACAATGGAGTTCCAAAACAAGAAAGAAAAAAGAAAAGCAGGAAAAAAAAGTACTATTTACAACCAATTTCAATTCTCCACAAAACTGATTGATTTCAATTAAGCCCCAAAGGAGCTTTCATATCCAATTCTTAAAGGTCAGAGGTCTAGGAACAGGTAAGACTCAAGATTTTCTGGGCCAGAAGACTACTGAAGGGCTAAGAACGTGGCTCAAAGGTGCAGTGCCTCATTGGCATGCACAAGGCCCTGAGCTGAACCCCAGCACCGTTTCACAAATGCTGGGCTTCACAGTATGACCCTCTATCCAAAACAACAAAACCAAACAAAACTAAACCAAACCCCACAGAGTTCAGGTAAAGCTGCAATGCTGAGACCTCTACACAGACGAAGACTAAGCAAAAGGAACAAACCAGACACACACAGAACCTCAGCAGGCAAGTGAGGGGCCTGACTCTGCAAACAAAAGGCAAATTCAATATGGCGTAGAAAAGATGAGCCACACGACAGCGAGTGACTGAAGGTGACCTCACGTCATACACAATGCTGACTCCGGGGGAAGCAGGAATTTATGTGAGAAAAGCATCATTTAAAAACGTCTAAGAGAGACACAGTGGCCATCCAGAGGAACATATTCCCAAGTAGATTACACTAAACTAAAGAGCTGGGACATAGGATGTTGTTAGTGTGCAAAGCCTCTGCTGCATACATTATGTCCTGGCTTTTCCCAATGTACTTTTAAAAGAAAAAATACTACCAGTCTGTCAGCTTTAAAAGACAAGTCAGTATTTTTAAAAACGTGGCTATGTCTTTTCACACAGGGAGACACCTGATCCATAAATATTTGAACAGATTCTCAATCTCATTAATAATGCAAATTTAAACCACAGCATGCACATGCCATGTCATCCTACTTGCAAATATTGAGAAATATAAGATAACACGTGTTGGACAGATTGCAGGTTAGCTACAGCTCTCACACAATGCTGGCCACGGTATGTAAGTTGACAAACCATTAGCCCAAACACAAGCTGGTACAAACCACTTCAGAACCGATCTGAATCATTTCATGAAGGGGAACATTTGTACCCCTGTAAACCAGCAATTCCACTCCTAGCAAACACCTTACAATGCTGGGTGCTTCAACCTATTTTTTGTTCACAAAAGCACCAAAGATGCCTTTGAGAATTATGTCTAAAAAAGTCCAGCATGGCAAAGGATAAACTTCTGGAGTATCATAAACATTTTATAGTAATACTGTGATTCTTCTAAATGTTGAACTTGGCCAGCAAGATGGCTCAGTGGGTAGGGGCACCTGCCACCACACCTGACACCCTGAGTTCAATCTCCAGGTCTACATGGTAGAAGGGAAGGATTTCCTCAAGTTGTCCTCTGACCTCTGTACATGTGCCAGGGCACCCACAGCAGTAAACAGGTGTCACAATGTTCTAGGTATTACGGCTAGTTTTATCTTATACTTGAGTTGAATAAAAGTAATTATATACACTGACAAATAACAGAAAAAAGCAAATGACACTGATTTCCTGAATAAGTGGGCAGAGGAAGTGCTGAGATTAAGAGAGGCCTCTCTGGCACCGCATATAGCATTTTGCATTATTCATCTGATTTCCTTTTTGCAGTTATACCACAGCTCTTTCATGGTTGTGCTGCTACTCTTCTTACAGGAAAACAGAACAATCAAACAGGAACATGCATAAGCTGCATTATATTCACCCATCAAAGCAGTGAAGAATTAATGACGTATCTATACTGAGTATTAGTTACCTGTAAACACAGCACTGAATGAGAGCAAGTTTCAGATGACTACACCCAGAATAACATTCTTTACTCAGAGACCACATATACAATTTAGGATTGAATGACAAAAATCTGAAAAAAGTATTTAAAATACAAGAATAACATGAATTCAGGATAGTCACCTCTGAGAGTGAGCACATTCAATATTGGTTAGGTTGAATCTTGCATCCACTGGTAGACGTCACAGTTGTAAATGTTTCGTGTATTCTGGATAAATCAAATACTACATCAAGGAGGAAAGGATTTAAAGAAAAACATCACACCTTTAAAATGCTTTTAATGATACATAAATCGGTTCACTCACTATTTGAGAGGTACACAGATATCACACTGAAATCCTTATCTTTACATCAACAATGGCAACATTAGATAACATAATAAATGAGGACTAAATTCAATAAAGACCAAATCAATTAGCTCTGAGATATTAACCCATTTGCTGTCACATGGCTAGACAGAAGCCAGGCTATAAGCAAATTTAGCAGCAAGCCAAAAGTCATAAAGAAGACGGCCAGTAAAGAGAGAGAGAGAAAAGTAGTATGTTAGCAAGCATGTGAGGAAATGGTGTTCTCGGCACCAGTGAGGCACCAGTGATCGTAGAGACTGTGACAGCCACTTGGACAACTTCTATCTTGTCTCATTAGGTGGAAGATCTATGTACTCTACTGCCCAACAAAATTATGACTAAGTGTACCTCCTAGAAAACTTCCAGAAGTGTGCATAGCAAACAAATACAGAGATTTATTGCAGGACTGTTTTAAAGAGAAAAGACTGTAAACAATTCCAAAGTCCACCAAGAGGAGACTATAAAAATAAATTACGGTATATTCATACAATGCACTGCTATACCAACAATTATAAAATTCAAAGAAAGTACAATTATTCCATTTATTCATATATAAAATGCAAAGTGTGATGCTGAGTGAAAAAGCAAGTTGCAAAAAGACACAATTTTATATCACTTTAGATTAAGAACCAACACTATATATTGTTCACGTATTCACCATTACCAAGTTATAAATTGTGCACGGAAATGATACACACAGACCTGAACACAGTGGCTATCTCTAGGTAAGGAGGGGGACAAACTCAGCATCTCCAAAATGTCTTAAACTTTTTTTTTTTTGGAGAATTTTAATTAAATTTGGCTCCCCAAAAATTAAATAAGTAAATAAAATGGTCTGGTTTGGTTAGATCTGCCTATGTTTAACCTTTTAAGTATCCCAGAAATTAAAAGGCAAGTTAGGCAACAGTGAGGAAATTGAACGACAGAAACAGATGGAACCCGCAGCCCTTCAGCGCAAAGCACAACCCCTCCCCACGCACAGTGGGGCTTTACCGTTCTTGCCCCGTGTATCCTCATACCAAAACCCATTTTTCTTAAAATAAAACACGGATTTCCCGTGGTTGGGATGAAACCGTCCCGGAGAGCAGCAAACCCTGTATGATCTCAACCCCGTTGCCCTGCCCACAATCGAGATTTCTGCGGCTGCTGTGAAACGCCCTCCAACACCCACTCGGGGTCAGCGGGGCGCGGGTGAGAGGCGTGGGCGCGCCTCGATGAAGGACGTGGCAGCCCGTGGAGAGGGCGCCGTGCCCTCGCGCGGAACCCACTGCGCTTCACCCGGCCCTTTGTCCCCCTACGCGGCCCCAGCGGGCTGGCAGCGCGGGCCTCAGTGACGCCGCCCCTGCAGCAGGCGCGGGCAGCTCTGCGTCCCTCCCGCGTCCTCGAGAACGCGGGGGTGGGGTGCGCGCGCGCGCACAGACACACAGACACACACAGCAGGGGGGTGAGCGCGCGGGCGCACATACACACATACACACACAGCAGGGGTGTGAGCGCGCGGGCGCACATACACACATACACACACACACAGCAGGGGTGTGAGCGCGCGGGCGCACATACACACACACACAGAGCAGGGTCGCGCGCTCGCTTACACTCACACACACACTCTACACACACACACAGTACACACACACTCACACACTGTACACACACACACAGCAGGGGTCGCGCGCTCGCTTACACACACACACACACACACACACACACAGCAGGGTCGCGCGCTCGCTCTCACACACACACAGCAGGGGACACACACGCACACACTCGCACACACAC